TATATATATATATATATATATAGTTCTCTTCTTCTTGCCAAAAGTCCACTTAGGACTACTCAATTACTTTAGAATTTCAGTTGACAAGCTGAACTATCTTATCTATTACTATCACACTAGTATTCTGTGTGTGATTCACTTACAATTGCGGTGGGAGTTACCGTAATCATTTGGTCTTGTTTTTATTTTAAATATACTCTGTTCCTTTTGTCAAAGTACACTCAGGCTGATTCAATTACTTTAGAACCACGCTTTGATGGAATAATTCTTCTTCTTATCTCCTTTTCTACTGTTAGTCTTACTCTAACATTAAACATTAGGCCTATCACTTGTACAGCAGTTAACTTCATGCCGAACTTTTCCTTGCCCATAAATTTACTCTCTTCTGCTATTGTCTGTCTGCTGTTTCTGCTCATCTCACACTTTTTATATTTTTATCATTTAATCATCTGACCGCCTTCTAGAAATCTCTATATTCTCGATGTCAGTGTATTGCACGCGACGTTCGATAGTCTCAACATCAATTACTTATAAACACAACTTCCTACAATCATCTGCTTTTAACTCTTGATATAACAAAAACTAAACAATAAATAAAATATTCACTCACAAATTAAATTAATCAATAATATCTATACTAACCAGTCTTTTATATCATGAAATAGTGTTTAAAATTGATTACAGAAATAGGTTAGAAATTCCTGTATGTTTTGTCTTAGCATAATGCTTGTTAACAGATGTAGATATTTTGAAATTATTAATTTTGACTTGATAGCAAGCTATATAATTTAATTTTGTCATATTTTAGATCTATTTGTTTATGTGTTAAAGACAAATTTGCTAATATTTTGTTTTCTTCAGTTTCAATTTTTAGTAAGAACACAGAAAAAATACTAAAATTAATAGAAACTACTTTTAATGAATATTGTATAAAATTAATATAATTCACATTTATACAAGATTTGTAAAATTTTATATATTCCATGTTTATATTACTTTATTACTTACTATTTTCTATAAACATAAATAGAAACTAAAACAGGCTATTTTTCTCAAAGTAATCTAACGTATGCTTAGTCATATTTCATCAATCATAAGTTTTCTACACAAAACTAAATTACCATGTACAATTTTACACATTGCAGTGAACAGATTTCCTTCAGGACTGGACATATCTTTAAAATTCTTAAAAGTTTATTTTTTTTAGTTTTCTCTATATGACAAGCAATATATACACACACCTTTTTTTTCTGTGTATCTAGACTGTTTTTTCAGTTTTCTATCTGTGACAAGTTATTTATATGTTTCTCAGACATTTGGATATCTTCTATAATGTTTGACTATGTACTGAGTAAGATTTATTATTTCCTGCACAAGCAAGCATGTTTTTTTTATATTTTTCTCTTTAAAAATGTAGCTGGTATATTTCTTGGACAGGTGGACGAGTTTTTCAGTGTTCTTTCTGTAATGGTTTTCTCTGTGAAGATGACCAGTTTGAACATCAGGCAAGTTGCCAAGTTCTTGAAAGTGAAACCCTAAAATGTAAGCTTTTAATTTAATCTATTTTCACATATAGGTAAATGTATAAAGCTTGACTTGAAAATTATTTGTTCATTTATTTTTTGATACCACAAAAAAATTAAAATGAACTGGTGGCTCCAGGAAGTTTTAGCTAATACTTTGCTCTATTTAAGCTAATTCACAGCTTTTTGTTTTACAGTGTTGCATATGATTCATCTGCAGTGGTAAAAGCACATAAAATAACCTATTTTAATCTCTGCTTGTACATTGTTATATCATCTAGCTAGATTGAAAACTTGATTATTCTGTGGCTTTAGACAATGAAAGTTGTATACTATAGAAACATTCACTTACAATATAGTTAGATCAAATTTATGGTTAAAATTGTTTCAGAAACATAATTTTTGGTTATCAAAACTTGGAAATAGAGAATTGTGATTTAGGC